ATCGTAATCCGCATTCGGACTCTCATAGTGATCAGCTTCGCCAGATGCGGCGCGTCGTCCACGCTTAGCTGTGCTTGCACCGGTGGGCGTGTGTTGTGCCGAGATGCGACGCTTTTGTGCTGCTGCTGACTTGGCCGAAGCGGCTTTGCTCGCCTGCTTGCTGCTGACGGCAACAGCAGCACTGGACTTAGCTTTGGGTGTGCGTTTCGCTTGGCTCTTGACTGTGGGCGTAGTTGTCACAACTGGGGAAGTTGCATTATTTTCGACTGCAGCATTCGAGGTCAGCCCATCGGATTCATCGGGACTGCCAACCACATGGGGGACAACTCCATTGTTGCCATCAGTGCCCGTTTCGGGACTCTCATCGCTGTCAAGGCCGTCGCGAATCTTGTCAAAATCAGCTTCGGTAGTATGATTGCCCATGCCGCAGCTTTCATCGATCTGACTATCAATCTCGGCCGGATTCTCCACATATTTATCAATGTCGGCCATAGCGTGCCGAAAGGCAGCCGGCTTGCTAACCTTAGCAAGCTCATCCTTCCACGGTCCTTCAAACGGCTTGATATTGTGCTCCTCAATCCAAGCGCTAAACACAAATACACACACACACACGAACACATACACGTACGATAAGTTAGCTATGGTTTTTTCTTGTTAGAATATTGCACTTGATTTACTTACAAGTTTCGCGAACCAAAAAAGAACACACATTTCGTATTGGCGCGTCGCTGCTGGGCAAGCAGATCTAGTGGCGGCTCGACAATCTGCAACAAAACAGTTAAAAGCCAATGAAAAACGTTCAATTATACACACAAGAGAGCATTTCTTTTCGCCATAACGCACACACACGCACACAGTGATGCAAAGTTCAAGCTGATTCACTGTGTTCTTTTCTATTCTTGTATTTTTCCCTTAATTTTTCAGCTGTACATACAGTAGAAAGCTGTGATATTCCAAGCCAAAGACAGAACAAATACGCGCGCTGTTGATATCAATGCTTTACTCTCCCGTTTACAACAAATATTGTAGCGTGTAAGTGCGTTATGACGTCGACAGCGTAAGCAACAGCAACAGAGTCGGCAGTGCTCAACGTCCGACGCCTCTGCCGCTGCTGCATGAAAAAAGTACAGTCGAAAACAAACACGGCAGCGACAGCGGCAGCAGCAGCGGCGTCGCCGTCGGCAGCATTATAAACATTACGCTTACCATTCCTGGCCATGGTGTGAAGCCCTTCATTTTGGCCCTGAAACATAAATACAATTTTCATTTTAATCAAGTTGTTTATATATTTTAAATGTTTTCATTTTTTTCTCTTCATATCAATAACTACAAATTRGGCGCGCGCGCGCGCGAAAAAAGCGCCAACGCAGCGACGGCGACGTTTGCTGCAACAGCAATCGTCGGCAGCTATAACACAGTCGTGTGTGGGGTGTTTAGACAAAAAAAACATAACTGTATTTTACACTGAGCATTATATGCTTAATTGTGAACCAATTGTATTTTTTCCCAATTATTTTACGCTTGCCCAACACAGCGGCAATTGAGGTTATGTATGGTTTCACTATATTTTCTTGCAACAATTCGACACACAAAATATAACTTTTTGATAGCAAGCCAACTTTCCACTTTGTCAATTGTTGTTTGGAGCATTTTAAAATTTAGTTGTGCCAAAGCAGTCTTACCATATCAAGTCCTTGGGTTTGTAGATAAATTTCTCTGTTGAGTCGCCCGATAGCGACAATTTTTTATTTTTCGACATGATGTTCTCAAGGCGTATATTAAACTTGGTTATTTTGCTGCTGTTGTTTGGACGACACACACAAGAAAATATTATTTATTTGCTTTAGCACAAACTCGTCGTAAGCAGCGCTTAATTAATTTTCTTAATTTTTCGTATGCAGCCTGCTTATTTTTTTTTGTCTTTGTATGTGTGATGCGCTTTGTGTATGTCGATAAGAACTTTCATCGAAAACAAAAATGGCGCTCGACATGTGATGCGCATGCTTATCGATTATTTAGGAAATTTTTTGCAGAACAAGTTGGCATTTCTCTACTAGGTTGGCAGGTCATTACAAAGAAATGTGAACATCAGTATGACCAGCTAATAGGGTGTTTTATTCAAAACTAAGCGACTTGTACATTTGCTTCAATATGAATTTTTCTCTTCCAATTATTTTGTAAATATAGTGAAATTGGTTTAAGATCTAGAGATATGTTACCAGTTTATACGAAGTCAAACTGCCACTATACAAAAAATATATTTATAGAATAAAATATAAAATTAAAAAAAAAATTATTTACTTGAGTTTAGACTTTCAATTGTTTTTATTCAGCATCTGCCAGTATTAGATATACGATATAAACTCTTTAATGCATAATTGGATAAATATTAGTCTAGCGCAGCCTGCATGTTTGCCAAAAAATCGAACAAACCATTTAGCAAGCGCGCAATTCATAGATTTGCAAGATAAACAAGAATGCGTGCCAAGTCTCTGAACACACACACACAGACACAGACTCGCCGTCCACATATACAATCAGATTCTCCATCCCTTTCCAATCGTATCGCAAAGCGCTTTCCATTCAATGGCTTTTAACCCGTACGGCCCGATTTGTTTAAATAAACGTTTGGCAAAGCGCATCGCAAATGCTACAATTCAATTGAATCCGTTAGCCACTGACCTCATCCACAATTGCTGTTTATCTTGTGCGTACGATCTTCCGCCCCTTTCGCCATTCAAGCGCACACAATGCGAATCCGGCAGTCGCATTAGAAATAGACCTTTCACTTAGGCCGAGAGAGACGAGAGTCCTTAACCGCAAGATAAATTACCACACGTAGGCAGCCACTTGCCGCAGCAGTCGGCATTCAACGACACTAAAGCATAATCCTCATAAATATGAAACAATCAAATAAAATAAAAAAGGAGTTAAGGATATAGGATATGGGGGTTGGGTTGGGCGCAGATGATAGACGACGACAGCGACCCAGTGGCATAAAACTTTTTTATAGGCGACCCGCAATGGTAAACAAACAAAAAAGAAGTGGAAAAATGTAACAGTGAAAGTTTTAGAGGGTAAAAACGGAAAAGGGGTAAAAAAAAAAAAATATGGTGCACTTTTTTATAGAAAAACTCGCAACTTTTTTGAGGCAAAATAAATTGTTCACACTTTCTGTTGAAATTAGCCAGCTAAAGGTAAAGGGGTGGAAGATAGGCGGGTGCATGCAGTTTTAGATTGCAAATGATTTATAAGAGTAAATACATATGTACCCTCATACATATACATATTTATATACATAAGTACTTGCGTATATATAATTT